CGATGCACCTTCCCATCCAGGTGGCCAGGTAGGGCTGACGCAGGTGGGGCCTGTTCATCCTGTAGCTGTGAGCCTCTGTCTTGTCCCCTCCTCCTCTGTCCTCCACTCCTCTCTCTCTTCCCTCCTCACCTCTTTCCCATCCTCCTCTTTTTAGTTTTTCCTTCCTCTTCCTCCTCCCCTCTGCTTACCCCAGTGACATCCTGGACTTCACAATTTGGGCCAAAGGAAATAAGGAAACGCTTGGCTCAGCCTTTCGGCCAGGCAGGCCGGGGATGAAATAATGAAGGCAAAAGACGGTCCCAGCAGAAGAGAGAACTTACATGTGACCGCATCCTTCTTTGTGAGAAGTCAGAGCATCAACCTGTTCAGCTCTGTCTCTTGCTCAGCGGCTGGTTTCTCATTAGATTCTCTCCTCCCTTTCCACTCTGACCCGAGCAGGGACCGCCAGCCAAGCTTATTATCAGGACAGCTTTCGAGATGTGAAGTCTCTCCTTGCTCAGAGAGCATCCCTGTGGGAGAATTCTGGTTTCGGTGCCTGGCGACTTTACCAACTGGATGCAGAATGGAGGCTTCCTGTCCCTAAACTGGCCCCACTGTGGGATCACCGTTTTTACCGAGATGGTGCATCTTGTCCAATGAGTTCATGTGTATAGCGTTGGGTGGGAGCCGGCTCATTTTGTGCTGGCTTTATGAGCGGAGGAGGCTGAGGCTTTGTGTGGTTATTCCTGGGAGACACCTTCCTGCAGGGCATCCACCCTGTTCTGACGGGAAACGAGGTGACACAGTCACCAGGAATCCCAGGCCAGCCAGTCACCGGTCTGGCAGCCGGGATGTGCGTTCCCAAGTCTGCCCTCGTGAGCCTGGGGGCGGTTTCTGCCTCGGGGCATCTTGCGTCCTGGCTGTCATTGGGACTCAGGTGTATCGCCACCTTCTTCTCTCCCCTGGGCTCGCTGGCCCTTGGCAACGTGCAGCGGTTCTCAGCACCTGCCACCCGTCGGAATCAGCGGCCCGGCTCTAACTGCTGCCTCGTCCCGCCCTAAGCGATTCCGGCTTCCCCAGACGGGGCTGAGCCCCAGGCATGGGAGTTTTGAAAACCTTGCCAGGTTGTTCTCAGGTGCAGCCGAAGTCAAGAACGGGCCGCACCTCAGAGGCAGGGATTGTCCGTGGGAGGGATTCCGCTGTTCCCCATCCCCCACCCCCAATGCCAGACACACGCCGTGTCCGAGGCATTTTCAGTGGTCGCCCTGAGTGGGGCTGTTCCTGGCTTCTTGAGGCTGGAGGTCAGGGATGTAGCTGAGCATCCTCCAGTGCCTCAGACTTCATCCCAGCGCCAGCCGCCCAACCCCAACCAAGAGCAGCCAGCAACCCTCTTCTCTCCGTCCGTGGGGAAGCAGATGGTGTGTGCCCTGATTGACAAGCTCAGTTCCCTATATGCTGCAAGAAGATCATCACAAACGTAGTGGCTTGAAGCCACACTCACTTCTCTCATGGTCTCTTTCATCGGCCACTTTCACTGGGCTGAAGTCAAGGTGTCTGCAGGGCTGTTTTCCTTTGGAAAACTCTGGGGAAGGGTTCGTTTCTTGGCCTTTCTAGCCTCTGGAGACTGCCTGCTCCCCTTGCCTCCTGCTTCCCGCCTTGAAACACTCCGTCCAGCCTCCCGCTTCCGTCGTCCCACCTCTTGCTCCTTCTCCATCCTCCCCCTCTGCTTCCCTCTCATTAGGACACTTGGGAGTGTACGTGTCCCCTCTCCCCCAGTCATCCAGGACAGTCTCTGCCTCTCAAGATCCTTGACTTGCTCACACCTGCGCGGTCTCTTATGCTGTAGGAGGTGACATTCACAGGTTGCAGGGGTATTAAGATGTATCTTTGGGGGCTGATATTCAGCATATCAGGCTTGCCAGGTGGCACAGTGGTAAAGAACCTGTTGGCTGCCAATGCAGGAGAAGCAAGAGATGTGGGTTCCATCCCTGGGTCGGGAAGATCCCCTGGAGGAGGGCATGGCGACCCACTCCAGTGTTCTTGCCTGGAGAATCCCAAGGACAGAGGAGCCTGGCCGGCTACAGTCCCTGGGGTGGCAGAGAGTCAGGCATGACTTGAGCTTGCATGCACACGCACTCAGCCTTTCGCAGGGGCCCTCCTGGTACTACTGTTCTTCCTTTCCTGGTCCCCAGTTTTTCTCCAGGGGTTGTTCCACCTGTAGACTCTTAAGATGCATTCTCCTTCTGTCCTGGGTGTTTTCAAAGAAGCAGGGTCTGAAGGGCAAGGCGGCGTGTTGGAGTCCTGTCTAACCAGCTCCTAGTGGCCATAGCAACGGGCAGAGAAACATTCGAGGGAAAAGTCAGGGGGAGGGGACCCAGCCCTGACGTTAGCAGCTGCCTTAACCTGGCAAATGATGCTGCGGGGAGAGGCAGGGAAGCCGACCCGGCGTCTCAACCACCGTCAGCTTCCCACCCACCGCCACCCCACCCCCAAGTCTGGGTTTCTAAGTGATCTTTCAGATCTCCAGGTGCCCGCTAATCTGCTGGCCCAGTGCCTTTCTCTAGGCTAACAGAGGTGTGTCTTTGGCCAAATACAAAAGCTAGACCCAGAAGGGTTTGGTGTGGGGCGAGGGTGTGTCCGGCCCTGCTGAGGCTGGTCCTGACCTCGTTCTCCTCCCCTGGGTGGACGCTCCTGTGTCCACCCTTCCCCTCCCCCTGCCCTGGCCCCCTTTGCTGGGTCTGTGGGGCTGTGGGATGAGTTGGGCGGTGGGGGGAGAGGCGGTGTGTTTGGCTTTTTGTTTTGTTTTGCGCATGCCTCCCGACGTTCCCCTCTGTGTTTAATGTCCCGGTGCCGAGTGCATGCGGTTGCCGGGAGACGAGAAGGAAGTCCCCGAGTGATTCACGGGCAGCTGCCAGTTCATTTGCTGGCCTTGTGCGTCTCCCTGGGGAAAGGCCTTCTCCCCGGTCCTCGCTGGTTCAGGCGTCTGAGGAGGGGGAACGTGGAAACTAGAAAGTTTAGCAGAACTTTGGGGCTGTTGGGGGCGTTTCGGGGTCCCAGGGAAAGAGAGTGGAGGGAGAGACTTCCAGTCTCCCTCTTGGCTGCCTGGAGCCCCAGGGTGCTTCTGTGAAGGCTGCTGCGCTGGCTTTTGGGGGAGCTGACTCCTGCCTGCAAACTCTGTCCTTCCGCGGTGCTCCTGCAGACACACGTCTTGAGGCATCTTCTCCCTCCCCAAGGCGCTTATGGTGATGTCCTGCCGCCTCTGACTGTCAGCACCCCTCTCTCTGGCTTCATTGCAGCCCATACATCCCCACCCGGGGTTTAGCCCAAGCCCCCAGGAAGGAGAGCTCCCTCGCGCCAGGCTGAGCCGCGAACTCACAGGACCGTGGGGGGGGGGTGCAGGGGGGCCTATTGGCCGCGTCCTCCGCGAACGGCCCTCTGATACAGAGGCCCTTCCGGCCTCAGGCTCCGTCAGCGTTGCCTCTCTGCTGTGGCCCACAGGAGTGGAGTGTGCCTGTCTGGCTTCTGTCTGCCTTCTCAGCCTCTCCTCCCGCGTGGTGCTTGTGAACGAGCCGATTTGCAGGTGATTTCTCATGGGCTGGCGGTGACGGAGTCAGAGACGCGGGGGGCCCAGATTTATCTGCATCCGTGACTGTGTGTGTGCTCGGTCGCTCGGTCCTGTCCGACTCCGTGCCAGCCCTCGCACTGTGGCCCGCCAGGCTCTTCTGTGCATGGTGATTCTCCAGGGAAGAACGCTGGAGTGGGTTGCCATGCCCTCCTCCAGGGCATCTTCCTGACTCAGGGATTGAACTCGTACCTCCTGCCTTGGCAGGCGGATTCTTTACCACTGAGCCACCTAGGAAGCCCAGCGCTGCTTGTGAAAGCAGTATTTTAGTTAAGGGGGAGAAAAGGCCTATTTAAACTGTTCAAGTTTTGCTGGTGGCTCAGATGGTGAAAAAAAATCCACCTGCCAATGCAGGAGACCCGGGTTTGATCCTGGAAAGATCCCTTCCCAACCCAGGGATCTAACCCAGGCCTCCAGCACTGCAGGCGGGTTCCTTACCAGCTGAGCCACCAGGGGAGCCTAGGAATACTGGAGTGGGGAGCCTGTCCCTTCTCCAGAGGAACTTCTGACCCAGGAATAGAAAGGGGGTCTCCTGCATTGCAGGTGGATTCTTTACCAGCTGAGCTGCCAGGGAAGGTCTCAGCAATTTTAAGATGAGGAAGTCCCTGTGGCCCCTCTGTGCCTCGATTTCTTCATCTGTAAACTGGGTGATCTGACTCCTCCATGCTCCTGACCCCAGAGCTCACAGGTTGAAAAACAGGATTGTCCACTTCTTCTGAGCTGTGTTTGGTTTTTAAAATCAGCCGTGGTGTAGTGGTAAGGCTTGCGTGAGGGTTCCCAGCAATGATGCAGTGAACAGAGTTCCTTGAACAGTATGTGTTAGTCACTCAGTCATGTCCGACTCTTTGCAACTCCATGGACTGTAGCCCGCCAGGCTCCACTGTTCATGGAATTCTCCAGGCAAGCATACTGGAGTGGGTTGCCTTCCCAACCCAGGGATCGAACCTGGGTCTCTGCATTGGCGGGTGGATTTTTTTTTTACCGTCTGAGCCACCAAGGAAACTTGAACAGTGTAAACAAGCCTTTCCCCCACCTTAACTAAAATATTGCTTGAAGGAGCATCGGGCTTCCCAGGAGGCTCAGCAGTAAAGAATCTGCCTGCCTGTGCAGGAGGTGTGAGTTTGATCCCTGGGTTGGGAAGGTTCCCCTGGAGAAGGAAATGCAGCCCACTCCATCATTCTTGCCTGGGAAATGCCATGGACGGAGGAGCGTGGACGGCTACAGTCCTTGGGGGTCACAAAGAGCTGGACACAACTGAGCAACTAAAGAACAGTAGCTGTTCAGTAGCTAGAACATTCTGGATTAAAGGCAGGAAGGTGATGTTCGTTGTAGAAAGACATCCATTGAAAGGACAGAAGGCATTAGAATCTCACTCTGATGCTGTTTTTTTGGTCCACAGGCCTGGAAGCCAGGACAGGTGGAGAACTGTTCCTCTCGCCCACAGCTCCCACCAGGAGCCTCAGTGTAATCATGAAGACCCCACGGAGCTAAGATGGGACCTTCTCTTAAGAGGCAAGTGCTCTGGATTGGAATGAGAAGTCTTATTCTGGAGAATGGACTTCCCTGGTGGCTCAGTGGGTAAAGAATCTGCCTGCAACACAGGAGACCTGGGTTCAATCCCTGGGTCAGGAAGATCCCCTGGAGAAGGAAATAGCTACCCACTCCAGAATTCTCATCCCATGGACAGAGGAGCTTGGCAACTTACAGGTCCATGGGGTTGCAAAGAGTTGGATGTGACTGAGTGACTAACACACACACACATTCTGGAGGCTAAAGGAGCTTCTGGATTTAAGAAGATGTTTGAGGAGAAAGCAAAGAACCTCGGCCTGAGGAATCCTGTCTGTGTTGACCTGCGTGAACAGGAGGCCACCTCCAGCTGAAAGGGCTGCCGTGATCCTGGACCTTATAACTCCGTCTGCTGGTGCCTGATCTTCAGACTGCCCCCCACCAGTCCTTGGAAACCAGAGGATTTTCTCCTGCATTCTTTCGTGCTCCCCACTTCCCACGTCTGCTGTGCTTTCGGACTCAGCAGTTCTCTTTAACTCCATCACTTCTCAGCTGGATACAGAGTGAATAGTTCGCTACACGTAAGTCAACTGATCTTACATTTTGCTCCTTCTAAAAAGGCTGGTATTTGCATATTGGAGTACAAGCAGCCTTGGAAGAGCATCCCTCCTCATGGATGTGGGGTCTGGTTCTGCAGGCTCCAGACTGATGCAGGTCTGTGCAGAAATCCTTCAGACTCTAAAGATGCTAGGACCTTGGAAAGGCTCTTGCAGGGAGCTGGATCCTGAAGACTAGCGTTGCCCACAGTCCACTTTCTTGGTTCGGATTGCACGCAGGTGCGTGTCTGGAGGAGCAGAACACGAATACGTTGTCTGTTGATACAGATGTGTGATCAGCTCCCAGTGGGGCAGTCGGAGTCCACGTCAGAACACCATGCTTCATTACGGACTATCCAGCAGCCAGAGGTGATGGGATTTCTAGAGGACCCTCTCTTTCCATTGTGTCCAGACCACAGATGGGGCCCCACAAAACCCAAGTCCTGTTGATGAAGTGAACCTTTTCTGTTGAGAACAAAACAGCTCCTGATGAAACAAAAAATAATACAGTCACTGGAAACAATGGAAAATAGACTATGCGATGTGTGTGTGTGTGTGTGTGTGTGTGTGTGACACATTTGTATAGAATAAGAGCCAAGAAGAAAATTTCTGCATCTTAGCTAGACGGACTGAGAGCTAAAAACCTTTGGGATGGCGTTGTCTGGAGAGTGATGGAGTTGGCTGGAACACTTCCTGAAATTCCTTTGACCTCTTGGGTCCCTTAAAATATCAGGGGTGTGTAAATTGGGCCAAAGTGTGTGCTTTCTGTCTGACGTCTCCTGGATAACCTTCAAGGTCAACCCAGATGCTGTTGACTCGGAACTCCCCTCCCCCAGTTCCCTTCCCTTTCCAGACACTGGCTTTATCTGGGATAAGGCAGCGGAACTTGGTAGTGGTCGCGGGGGAGAGAGGAGAAGGAGGTTGCGCCAGCCCCAGTTTGGGTGCTCATGACAAGTGAGAGCAACCTGAAGGCAAATTACAGGTTCTTTCCAGGTTAGTTAAAGCCAGGCTTTCAGGATTGCATGCCATCCTGAAGTTGTTGCTTCTTGTCAGAGGATCAAGGCTTTATCTCTTCTGCTGAAAGACAGGCTTAAGCATCTCATCTAACTGTGCTCATCTTGTGTGGTGGCCCTGGCGCAGGGGGTGGAGGTCATCACCTACTGGGGTAGAGATGAGCACGCAAGCATCTAGAAACTACTCTGTCATCGCACACCTGTCGAGATTAAGACCCAACCTCCTGCACGTGGGTCTTTCCCTCTGTCCTCAGTCTCCCTGCCTTCACTGCGGTTGAAGGAACACTTGCCAGCTTCCGGGGTGACATTTTTTTTTTAAAAGGACTCATTTCAGATGTTTCCTTCGTTTTTATATCCCACACGTGGTCATTGGTTCCAGAAGAAGTCCCACTGTGGTGCCAAAAGCAGCAGTTTCCTCTTCTTCCCTCTTCTCTTCTCATCCACGTCGAATCCCAGATCCCCAGGCCTGAAGCGGTCTAGAGCATCGCCCTTATCTAGATCTACCCCTGACTAGTGCAGGAATCCTGTTTCCAGCGTCAGATGCGGGATGGGCAGGCCCTGGGGGAGGCAGCCTTTCTGGCAGCTTGAGAGAGACCTGGGAGAGAAGGTTGGATGATGCTCAGCCTTAGGGGGGACAGCAGGATTCTAAGGAGCACTTCATGGGTGGCCAAGTGTCCACATGTGTCAATTTCTCCATCCGATAGTGAGCCAAAGGCATCTCATTTCTGGGTCCAGCTGTGTGTCTTACACTGATTAAAAAAAAAAGCACAGAGTGGGGAAACAGGGAGACCTGAGTTTTTGTCCCAGGAAGTCCCGCTTCCTAGTTCCTTCCATGTAAAATGAGGGAGTCACGTCACTCATCCCCCAAAACCTCTTCTGTCATCATATGGAGAGACATAGTTCATGACTTAAAAGATCTGCTATTTTTTTTTCCTCTCTGGCTCTAGTCCTAGCCGTAATTTCTTTTTCCCTTAAGTTTTTAAAAAGTATCCAGCAGTTATTTGTCTATCTGTTGATTTATCAACATCTTTGTTCCCGACCAGTGATTGAACTCGCACCTCTTGCAACGGAAGCAAAGAGTTTTAACCACTGGACCTCCAGGGCAGTCCCCGGGTTAATTTCAGCTTGCTCCAAGATCATGTGTAAGTCACTCAAACCTTTTTCTCCAGGTCTCAGTTTTCCCATCAATAAAATGGGAGAGGTAGGGGATGGTCTTAGTGGTCCTCCAAGTTCTCCTCCTGTGTGTCAAGTTTTAAGCCTTGTCTGACGCACCCCATGGCTGATGGGTAACTCTTGCTTTGCCTTCGGCCACACCAGCCAAAGACAGGGCTGTCTTAGGAAGTCCATTACCAACGACTCCTTCAAAGCTGTTTGCACTTGTCAGCTGCACCGAGCAAGAGTTTGTCGAAGGAGAAGGCAAATAGACATTCAGACTGATGACAGGCCGGGGGAGGGGGACCGCTGTTTGCCTGGGGTGACCGGGAGGGAGAAAAAAACCTGCCTGCCATCTTGACCAATAAATAAAAACTGGGAGCTCTGCGTGGCTAAAACTGTAGGGGATTTATTAGTTTGCTCAGTGAAAGGCAAATATTAAGTCTTAAGTTGGCCTGTCCTGGAACTTGCCTTTTGGCGTTTGTATGCCGTCCGGCACCGATCACTGTGTACTCCAGGTTATCGGGTTCTGTCGAAGGGTTTTTTTAAAAAGACTTTTTCCGTCTCCTTCTTATTTCCTTCCTCCTTGCCTGCCCCTGCCCCCCCAGCTCCCACCTTCTCTGATAACTCAACTCTGGGCTTTGGTGAGCCGGGGAAAACAGGGTGTGGGAGCCTTGTCGTCCTGGGTGTGAAGCGCCTGTGTTCAGGGCTCCAGCTTACCCGGGGGTTAGCCGCGACCATGGTGCAGTTGCTTTCGGGGCTGCGAACTCACCAGATGGTCCTTGGGGGGTCTCCTCCCTCCTCCACCCTGAGCGCTTCAAAAGTCAGGTCCCAGGCTGTTGGGCAAAGCTTGTGCCTCTCATTAACATACGCATCACCACCACCACTGGAAAAAAGACACAGACCTCTTGGTTTCTAAGTTTTTTCACAGTGAACACATGAGTTCAGCCTAAAATGCCTCACGGTGAACTGACTGGGCTTGTCACTCTCCACATGAGTCCGGCTGGGACCTGGGACACCGCTGTACCTAGACAGCATCTCGTCCAGCATAAAATACAAAGACTGTAAGGATTAGACGTGACTGTGATATGCAGTTGGGGAAAATGCTGGACAATAACATACAGAAAGACTCAAAACCCAACTGCTGCTTTTGAGGCTCCTGGAGCAAAAACAGGGGGTCGGGAGCAAAATCAGGGTCCTTCACGTGTCCCCTGCACACAGCACCACCCAGGTTTGCCCACCCAGGCCCCTGCTGTGCCTGACCCCAGACCTGCCTCCTGCCCTCAGCCAGCTCCCTCCCCTTGGGGAGCGAGGAAGAGGGCCTGTGACATGTCTTCATTGCCCACTGCTGTAGCAGGAGCCCAAATCAAGCCTGCCTGCATTTCTTGTCTGGTCTGTCATCAATTTCTGTTGATCAGGTAAGGCCAAGAACCCGAGGAGATATCCAGTCCCCAGGGGTTGGACAGCCACCCAGTCTCTCCAGTTTCTAAGAATGAGCCTCAGCGGAACAAAACTAGATGGCTTGTTCTTAACCCTTTGCTGGAAACATCTTCAGTCTGAAGCGCTGCAGCTCCAGGCACTCAGGTAGAGATCCAGGCACTCAGGTCTCCTCGATGGTGGTCCCTGATACCCACCCACTGAGGGGTACAGCATACCAATGCACACTGCTCCATGTCAGACCTCCAAGGCCCTTTTCCAGGCCACCCTGCTAACCATCCGTGGAGAAGACTTCGTGCTAGCCCACCCGGATATAGCGGTTCCCCACCACTACTCATGCAGTCAAGAGCGGGGAAATGTTCTGGAATTGCTTAATTAGGAAAGTTCCTTTCACACTCCAGTGGTGATTTTTGATTGAACTCAGCGTGAGTTTTAATCCTCTGGCAGTTCTTCCTGGATGAGTCTATATTGGGCAGCCAGGCTACTGAAATCCTGTTCATCCTTAGAGGTCGTTTCAGACGCTTCCTGCTCTAGGAAGCCTTCCTGGGTTTATTATTCCCTCTCAATCAGTTGTGACCTCCCACTCTGTCACACTCTCTTAAAGCATCTGGCATTGGCTAGGGACCCCAAAAGGAATAAGTTTGAAAGTATAAGAGGTGACCCAGTTTCTGCTTTTATGAGAGAAACAGTATTGGGAGAAAAAAAGTTTAAAACAAGTTCAGAATAAGCAGAGTAAATGACATACAAAAGGTGCTATGGTAAGGAAAGGGGATCAGCCTTTTGGGGTCCCTAGCCACAGCCGGGGTCACTGGAGACCTGCAGCTAAGAAGTCTTGAGTCGTAGCCTTGTGGCTTTTGCCTGGTAGGTATACAAGGAAGATGTGGAGTTGATTTTCCCTATTCATGATCTGTAACT